CCACCATCTCTCCACCTGACCGAGGTTAGGTAGGAACTTCCTGCATTACAGTCTCCTATACTGGACCTATGATGTTTTGGTTGGTTCTATGGCTTCATGGTAACCACCTTACTGATGGTCCGGACTAGAGGCTTCTTTGGACGGGGCTCTGGCGCGGGAACCATGGTGGGTGAGTACAATCCATTTCTCTCCACTCAACCAGTGTGTCTCTATTTTGACTCACTTGGAAGTATCGCTCCCCTCACCATTGAGGGTTACTATGAGCATGCTGCTTCCTATCGAGCACCCGGGTTCGCTCCATGGGCTGCTCTCGTGGTAATATTAGCACTGCTCCCCTTTTACACAAAGGGTTGCCTATGAGCGCGCTATTCTTTCTGAATTTGGAGTTCTCCTCTCACGTGAGAGTTGAGTTCTCTGTGTTCCCAGAGCACCTGGAACTAGCAGCATCAGGCGAACTAGGCCTAGTTTTCTGGCTAGCTTGCAGTACGCTTACCCTTCTGATTTCTAACATGCACCATTTCCATCTATAGGCTGCTCTTTCAGAGTACCACGAGGTTAGAACGGTTTTTAAATCCATGTTATGGTAAGTGTGCACGTTAGTCTTTGTACACTTTCTAAAATCCACACTGTGGTAAGTTCGCACGCTAGTATCCTGCGTTCTTTCTAAAATCCTGTATGGTAAGAGCTACGCGTGGCAGCCTCGTGCTCTTTCTTGATTGGTTTAAAACCCCGGTTCCGCCTTGGGCACCACCCCACCTATGTATCCTCTGGATACCTACTTTAACAGGGTGTTGCTACAAGCTTCAGACGAAGAAGAGGATGATGTGTTCTCCCAGCGCCTATTTATACTATAGTCGCACCGGTAGTGACGTCATGGCTGTCGCCGGCCAACGTGTTGTTGGTGTTTTTTCAATGTATGCTTCAGACACGGGTCACGATGTGGCGTTCCCTATAGCGACCCCTAGAGGACACAGTGTCTCGTTCCCTACTCAGGGAACCATGGTTACATATACGTAACCTGAGACGTTTTTCAATACAGTTTTTTGCCTTCTGTACCTCCACTACCCCCTTAGTGTGGCTCAGGTTTCATTTCATGAACATGAACATGAACCAGAAAAATGTTCCTTGTTCCTGATAACTTGACAACTTTTTAGTTTTCTTTACTTGAAAATAAAGTGAAAAAAATCTTGATTGTCATGATCATGAATTAATCACAATTTGTAATTATACCAAATTTAAAAAAAATGTTTTATAAAGTACTGTTTAAAAGTTTGGGGTCGGTAGGACTTTCCTCTTATGCTCACCAAGGCTGCATTTATTTGATGAAAAATACTTCAGTGTCACATGATCTTTCAGAAATCATTCTAATATGCTAAATTGGTGCAAAAGAAACATTTCTTATAATTATCAATGTTGAATGTTGTCTTGCTTACTATATTTTTGTGGTAGCCATGAAACATTTCTTCCAAGTTTCTTTAATGAAAAGATTTGATTGGAATTACTTTGCGTGTGTACACAGGTCTGTCAGGGGCTGGTAAGACAACAGTGGGATTCGCTTTAGAGGAGTATCTGGTCTCTCACGCCATTCCCGGCTACTCTTTGGATGGTGATAACATCCGTCACGGCCTGAATAAGAACCTGGGCTTTACTTCTGAGGATCGAGAGGAGAATATTCGACGTATTGCTGAAGTGGCCAAACTGTTTGCAGATGCTGGGCTTGTTTGTATTACAAGTTTCATCTCGCCGTTTACCAAAGTGAGCTATCTAACCAACATCTGGGATTACTTTATCATTTATACTGTGAAATTGGTTAAATTAGGTTTAAAAATCAAAGAATCAAATCAAAATCACAACACTAAGATAAGATCACAACATTATCACTATGTTTTGAGACGTTTTAAATGCACTGCAGTGTAAACGGCCCTAATTTTTGTTAATTTTAGCAGATACTGTTATTCAAAGTGACTTACAAATGAAAATAACCAAAGCACACAAATGAATGAATGAATGAATGAATGTCCGAAAGACGGTGCTTTTTGACAGTATAGTGTCCCCGTCACTATACTGGGGCGTTAGGACCCACGCAGACCACAGGGTGAGCACCCCCTGCTGGCCTCACTAACACCTCTTCCAACAGCAGCCTAGTTTTCCCAGGAGGTCTCCCATCCAGGTACTGACCAGGCTCAACCCTGCAAATGATTATGTAAACGCAAGGAGCGATAAACACTGCTGTGTTTTCATTTTCTTTAACCGTCTTTAATAAAAATGTTCTATAAAATGCATAATGCAGACCATCTTGCCTCTGCAGGACCGTGCAGAGGCCCGGAGCATCCATGAGAAAGCAGGTTTGCCATTTTTTGAGGTGTTTGTGAACGCTCCTCTAGATGTGTGCGAGAGCAGAGACGTTAAAGGACTCTACAAAAAAGCTAGAGCTGGACAGATTAAAGGTGATATAAAAACCATAGGAGCTTTAAAACTGTGCATTTCCCAGAAGTATGTTAAAAAAAAAAAAAATTTTAAAACCAAAGATTTATTTGCCTTCCTTCATTTCTCACTCAGGTTTCACCGGTATTGATTCTGAGTATGAGTGTCCAGAGGCTCCTGAGCTGATTCTGAAGACCGGAGAGCTCACAGTGAACGAATGCATTCTGCAGCTGGTGGAACTTTTGAAGGAGCAGGTTAGTCAGGAGCTGAACACAACAGGACACATTACAGACAGCTGAAGTATACAGTACTTTGGGCTTTAAGAATAGCTTTCATTTGCCATTTCCCAATTGGTGCACTTAACTTTATCTTTGGTCAGAAGTCCAAGGTCGAAACCAAAGCAAAAGCCTCTGTCAACATATCTGTCTGAAGGGCACAACCTTTGTAGAAATGGCAAGATATTTTACTCCAGTTTACTTGTAGTAAAAATTAAAGGATTGAATGATAGTTCACCTGAAAATAATTAGTCATTATTTACTCACCCTCATGTCGTTCCAAAACCCATCTTTTGTAATTTTCTTTCTGTGGAATACAAAAATACATTAGAAAAAGTTTGGGGTCAGCATATTTTTCTTTTTAAGGAATGAATACTTGTATTCAGGAAAGATGTATTAAGCTTATCAGAATTCACAGACGTAATAAATTGACAGACATACTGTAATAAAAAAGTTACAGACACAAATTCTATTTAGCAAGATTCATAATGCAGCAAAAATACAAAAAGATTAAGCAGCACTGTGTTCAACACTATTAATATTAAGAAATGTTTTTTGATAACCAAATTAGCATATTAGAATGATTTCTGAAGGATCATGTGACACTGAAGACTGATAGATGTTAAAAATTCACCTTTGCCATCACAGGAATAAACTACATTTTATAAATATATGAAAATAGAAATATATATGTAAAAACAGTTATTTTAAACTGTAATTATACACAATTTTATTTCACAATATTACCGTTTTTACTGTATTTTTTTATAAAGAAAAAGCAGCCTTGTTGAGATGCAACCATGTTGAGTCAAAATCATTACAAAATCATACCGACTCCAAACTTTTGAACACTAGTGTAATTGTTTTAAAGAATCTTCACATAGTTTTTTTTTATCCAATAACTTCATAATTTACTGTGAGCTGCCAAGCTTAAAAAACACTACAAAAGTGTTGTTCACCATAAATAGTGTAAAACTCGGGAGTTATATTCCAAGTCTTTTGAAGCCATGTTGATAACTTATTCACATCAGGGAATTCACATCTACTATAATTGAACAAACCTGACAACTGTCACGAATTCGGTCCATGGACTTCCGTTTATTCACCACCAGAGGTCACCCTTTCCATTACATTGACTCTCGCACAACACAAACTGTTGCATAGCACCCCGGACTACATATCCCATCATTCTTTGCACGATTTGCACACTGCACTGATTGCACTCATTGCACACAGCTGTTTCTAATCACCTCACTCACTATATAACTCCCACTCTAACCACCTTTCCCTGCTGAGTATTGTTTAGCCCGTACCCCTTTCCGAGTCCCATTCCGAGTCTCTGTGTTTTCCTTGTTTTGCCTTGCCTTGCCTGTTTCCGCGGTTTCTGATCTTTGCCTGTATTCCTGGATTTTTCCCTCTCGTCTCGCCCCTGTGATTCTGTCTGCCGATCGGTGACCTACGCTAGCCCTGGGACTATTCTTGTGTTTTGCCCGCCATATACCTGTTTGCCATTGTTTGACCCTGCCTGTTTACCACGTCTCTTTAATAAAGACTGCAGATGGATCCACACGTCTCACGTCTCGTCAGCCCCGTTACAACAACATTGCAACTACAGCAATGAAAGTCATTTTTAAGGGTCAGATCAGATAAAAATAGCTCCTTAGGGTAACAGATGCACATGCCATTATGGAAAATACAGTTCTTCTTCTACTTTTCATTCAACCCTTTGATGATTTCTCTTTCGCAGAGCATTGTTCCCAGTGGAGATTTAGAGGAGATTAATGAACTCTTTATGCCTGAGGACAGACTGAAGCTGGCACAGACAGACGCCAGCACCCTGCCCTCTATCAGCATCACCAAGGTAACCAGCTGCATTCGTCCTCAAGGCCAGGGTCCTCTCAGGTTCATCTGTTCATAAATATGAGTGAATTATTGACAAGATGACACACAACTGCTTTATCAGCCCGTGAACAGTGTGCTGTTCCCTAATTCTCAATGCAAATTTATTCCAGAAACCACAACAATACAATTTGAATGCTCTTCCTTAAACTTATTCTCACCTATTATTCCATGATGTTATACTGTATAATCCCACAGACAATCAATCAGAACAGACATTTGGACAAATATGATATTAGCTAACTGTTCCGTTTGTAAACACAGCTCTCTGTATTTGTGTGTGTAGCTGGACTTACAGTGGGTGCAGGTGTTGGCTGAAGGATGGGCTAGTCCTCTGAAGGGTTTCATGAGGGAGAGAGAATACCTACAAGTCATTCACTTCAACACCCTACTTGATGGTAACATACAAGCACACTCTTGTTGCCATACCAGACACCTCCCTTCTTTTATAGTGCTACTCATTTTTATTCTGCAGTACACACAGCAATCAGACTTAGTCAGGTTTATCGTCTTTATGCTGGCAATGGTGCTTATACCAGCAGCAGAAGGCTGATCTAAGCTCTGCACTGTTATTTAGAAGATGTTTCATGCATAAAATAACAGTTGCCAGAGCTGAAGCTGCTTTCAGGAGACAGAATGATGCAATGATCTGGCTTCCTGTGAAACTCGCACGCTTTGTTTGCTTTAATTGGGTTGGTCAGCGAACTTCGATCACTATTTTTTAATAGTAGTTGCAATCGCATACAAGCAAATAACATTCAGTGTGTACTGATATACATTGTTAGTGGCATTTAATGTAGCAGACATCTAATGATCCATATTGTCTTTAGATGTTATGTGTTAAGGGGTATTTGGGCAGTTTTTTCCTATAATTAGAAAAAAAAAAAATAATTATAAAGAAATAGTTTCTGTGATTCCAGTCATCTCTTTAAAATTATTTATAATATATGCAGATTAACCTATTTCTAAATACAGGTGGTACCATCAACCTCTCAATACCCATTGTCCTTCCTGTTGCAATGGAGGTTAAAGAACGTCTAAAAGGCAGTGTGGCTGTGGCTCTGGAGTACCAGGGAAAACGTGTCGCCATCTTACGCAACCCAGAGTTCTATGAGCATCGAAAGGAAGAGCGATGTGCACACCAATGGGGGACAACCTGCCCCAAACACCCTTATATAAAGGTATTAATCATTTTCAGCAAATGCCTTGATAATTAATGTATAACAAATCACCAAAGTATTATAACTTACAAATGCACAAAAATTACATGCTTTAACTGTTTACCTGTCAACAGATGGTTTTGGAAAGCGGTGATTGGCTGGTTGGAGGTGAGCTAGAGGTATTGGAGCGAATCAGATGGAACGATGGGCTGGATCAGTACCGTCTCACTCCACGGGAGCTAAAGGAGAGATTTAAAGAGATGAAAGCAGGTAAAAGTAAATGGGTTAAAGAGGACGATTAAGAGTTAACAAGTAACTACGTTTACAGAGTAATTTTCTAGGATTATTGCACTTCCTGAATAAAAACAATTCCTGATCATTTACTCACCCCCATGTCATCCAAGATGTTCATGTCTTTCTTTCTTCAGTTGCAAAGAAATTATGTTTTTTGAGGAAAACATTCCAGGATTTTTCTGTATATAGTGGACTTCAATGGTGGCCAGTGGGTTGAAGGTCCAAATTGCCGTTTCAATGCAGCTTCAAAGGGCTGGTTTTTGAGGAAAACATTCTAGGATTTTTAGTGGACTTGAAGGGGAGCCAATGGGTTGAAGGTCCAAATTGCAGTTTCAAAGGGCTCTACACGATCCCAGCCGAGGAATAAGGGTCTTATCTAGCGAAACGATTGGTTTTCTCAAAAAAAATGTTTAAGTTTATATGCTTTTAAACCACAAATGCTCATTTTGCACTAGCTCTGCGATAATCACGTTGGAAAGGTCACGCGTGGTTTGTTCTTCGTCTGTGTGCTACGGTTCAAAAAGTTACGGTAGGGCGAAAAACTCCGTATCATTTTCTTCTCGAATTTCAAAACCATCCAACATCGTTGTCTTACCTTTTTTTTTTAAAAGGCCATTTGACTTTCTTTGCGTCCAGGGTCACATATTGACTTGTGCTTAAAAATGATTAGCATTTAGCATTTAATTTTCATATGTGTTTATGAAAGATAACCATCTACATACCTCTGTAGGCCCAGCGTACATCATAGGGGAGGGAAAGATGGCCACAATGGTGGATTGTGGGTCTAGAATGCCGTCCTCCAGCACGGCCGCATGCTGTTTCATCCTCCAGTCCAGAGGCACGTCATCATCTTTGGTCCAGCCACCCAAAGGATGCAAAAGCAGCACTGGCCTTCGATACCCGCGTTCCTCCAGTCGTCGACGTGTGTCGGTCATAAGCAGGGCATGGCCATTATGCACCGGGTTCCTGAGTTGAAAAGCAAACACAGCGTCTGGGAAAACAATAGAATGGTCAAGTCCAGTGGTTTAATTAGTTGTTGCATAACCATGGTGAAGTCCAGAATATCATTAGTTTCTCAAGAGGGCGCTAAGAACCTCCAAAGCCAGAAATCCCAGACACTCATGTGGTGTATCAAATTAAGAACCTCGATTTCTTATTTGACTTTATCGAAATTGACACCAGCCAATTAATACTTGACATGTGGTAAACATGTGACTTATTTTAGGCACACCCTATCACATGTCTTTTTAAAACAAAAAAGTGCCAGCTGTGGTTTTAATGTGGGTTATAAAGCCCAATTTTATTGTTTATTACATTTTTAACATTGTGCCCTACATGAGCACTTTGGATTCCTTACTTCTTATACAGCCCCTGATGCAATATCTTGTTGCCATATGTTTGCCCGCCAAGAACCTGTTTGGCAACATGATTTTACAAAATCACATCCTAGATCCAGAATGACAGTGATTTTCATTGGAGATCCATGGGTACTGAAAAACTTAAATTTAATGGATTAGTTCACTTCCAGAATAATAATGTCCTGATAATTTACTCACCCCAATGTCATCTAAGATGTTCATGTCTTTCTTTCTTCAGTTGCAAAGAAATTGGAAATTTGAGGAAAACATTCCAGGATTTTTCTGTATATAGTGGACTTCAATGGTGGCCAGTGGGTTGAAGGTCCAAATTGCCGTTTCAATGCAGCTTCAAAGGGCTCTACACGATCCCAGCCGAGGAATAAGGGTCTTATCTAGCGAAACGATTGGTTTTCTCAAAAAAAATGTTTAAGTTTATATGCTTTTAAACCACAAATGCTCATTTTGCACTAGCTCTGCGATAATCACGTTGGAAAGGTCACGCGTGGTTTGTTCTTCGTCTGTGTGCTACGGTTCAAAAAGTTACGGTAGGGCGAAAAACTCCGTATCATTTTCTTCTCGAATTTCAAAACCATCCAACATCGTTGTCTTACCTTTTTTTTTTAAAAGGCCATTTGACTTTCTTTGCACGTTCGCTTTGTAAACACTGGGTTGGTACTTCCGCCTACGTCACACTTGACCTTTCCAAAGTGATTACGTAATGTGTGATGTCGAGCTAGTGCAAGACGAGCATTTGAGGTTAACAAGTATATAGGTTTTTATTTTTATTTTTTTTTAGAAAATGATAGATTGTTTCACTAGATAAGACCTTAATTCCTCGGCTGGGATCGTGTAGAGCCCTTTGAAGCTGCATTGAAACGTCAATTTGGACCTTCAACCCATTGGCTGCCATTGAAGTCCACTATATACAGAAAAATCCTGGAATGTTTTCCTCAAATTTCCAATTTCTTTGCAACTGAAGAAAGAAAGACATGAACATCTTAGATGACATTGGGGTGAGTAAATTATCAGGACATTATTATTCTGGAAGTGAACTAATCCATTAAATTTAAGTTTTTCAGTACCCATGGATCTCCAATGAAAATCACTGTCATTCTGGATCTAGGATGTGATTTTGTAAAATCATGTTGCCAAACAGGTTCTTGGCGGGCAAACATATGGCAACAAGATATTGCATCAGGGGCTGTATAAGAAGTAAGGAATCCAAAGTGCTCATGTAGGGCACAATGTTAAAAATGTAATAAACAATAAAATTGGGCTTTATAACCCACATTAAAACCACAGCTGGCACTTTTTTGTTTTAAAAAGACATGTGATAGGGTGTGCCTAAAATAAGTCACATGTTTACCACATGTCAAGTATTAATTGGCTGGTGTCAATTTCGATAAAGTCAAATAAGAAATCGAGGTTCTTAATTTGATACACCACATGAGTGTCTGGGATTTCTGGCTTTGGAGGTTCTTAGCGCCCTCTTGAGAAACTAATGATATTCTGGACTTCACCATGGTTATGCAACAACTAATTAAACCACTGGACTTGACCATTCTATTGTTTTCCCAGACGCTGTGTTTGCTTTTCAACTCAGGAACCCGGTGCATAATGGCCATGCCCTGCTTATGACCGACACACGTCGACGACTGGAGGAACGCGGGTATCGAAGGCCAGTGCTGCTTTTGCATCCTTTGGGTGGCTGGACCAAAGATGATGACGTGCCTCTGGACTGGAGGATGAAACAGCATGCGGCCGTGCTGGAGGACGGCATTCTAGACCCACAATCCACCATTGTGGCCATCTTTCCCTCCCCTATGATGTACGCTGGGCCTACAGAGGTATGTAGATGGTTATCTTTCATAAACACATATGAAAATTAAATGCTAAATGCTAATCATTTTTAAGCACAAGTCAATATGTGACCCTGGACCACAAAACCATTCTTCATGTTCCATGAAGATATTTTGTAAATTTCCTACCATAAATATACCAAAACTTAATTTTTGATTAGTAATATGCATAGCTAAGAACTTCATTTGGACAGCTTTAAAAGCGATTTTCTCAATATTTAGATTTTTTTGCACCCTCAGATTCCAGATTTTCAAATAGTTGTATCTTGACCAAATGTTGTCCTATCCTAACAAACCATACATCAATGGAAAGCTTTTTTATTTATTCAGCTTTCAGATGATATATATATATATATATATATATATATAATGTATGTATATATTTGAAATAAATGAATCATTTTATTGATCAAAAGTGATCGAAAGACATTTATAATGTACAAAAGTTTTTTATTTCAAATAAATGCTGTTCCATTGAACCTTCTATTTATCAAAGAATCTGAAAAAACTGCATCACAGTTTTCACAAAAACAATAGGCAGCACAACTGTTTTCAACATTGATAATAATAATAGTAAATGTTTCTTGAGCACCAAATCAGCATATTATCGTGATTTCTGAAGGATCATGCGAAACAAAGCCTGGAGTAATGGCTGCTGAAAATCTTTGCCATTACAGGAATATATGACATTTTAATATATATTTAAATAGAATTTTTTTTTTTTTTTTTATTGTAATAATATATCACAATGTTACTGTTTTTAAATGGCTAACCATGTTCCTGTGTCTGTCAGGTCCAGTGGCACTGTCGTGCAAGGATGGTAGCAGGTTCTAATTTCTACATTGTGGGTCGTGATCCTGCTGGGATGCCCCATCCAGAGTCAGGACAGGACCTGTATGATCCATCTCATGGAGGTAAAGTTCTATCCATGGCCCCTGGACTCACCTCTGTGGAAATTATCCCCTTCAGAGTGGCTGCATACAATAAGACCAAGAAGGCTATGGACTTCTATGACAAAGACAGGTGAGACTGAATTGCAGAGCAATTCCAATATTTCACAAGTAATTAACATGAAGAGGTGTATGTGCATCTCTTAGACTATTTAAAATATGCTGATTCAGGAGAATTCCAATAGCGGTGATGCATGTAAATGTCTTTTTCCAATAACCAGAAACTTAAGCAAACCTTTTTTGCATGTAAAAGTGGTTGCTTAGTGATTCTGAAGCATGAAAAGCAGGCTGCTTTTACCTCTTGTTTTTCAAACAATGCAGACATGCTGATTTTGAGTTCATCTCCGGGACCAAGATGCGCAAGCTGGCCCGCAGTGGAGCGAGCCCTCCTGATGGCTTCATGGCCCCTAAAGCCTGGAAGGTCCTCACAGAGTATTACACTTCTCTACAGAAAGACCAGTGATGACACATTCAAGACGTTCCAACACAGAAAACCTCACAGCGCATGTGGTCCACACTGAGAATGACTCGGTACACTAAACTACTTCAAGGCATTGAAAAATGTAGGCGCATACTTACAAGATTTCCTGTGAGGAATTATTTTACTACAGCATTGTTTTTAAATTGAATTATAAACATGCTTTTTCAACTGTGAAATTTAAACTGATGTGCCTTAATTAACAGATTGTCAGTCCCAAACAGATTATGAGATCTTAAATTGTATTTAGGAATGTGTTTTGTATTTTAGCCGGCATTTAAAAGAAAAAGTATATCAATTGTAATCTAAATGAAGCAATTACTCTACTGTTCAAAAGTTTGGGGTTGGTAAGAATGTTTTTTAAAGTCTCTAATGATCAACAAACTGCATTAATTTGAATTACTTTACAATTTGAAGTAACTGTTTTAATATATTTTTAAAATGTAATTTTTTGCTGTGACAGCAAAGCTGAATTTAAGCAGTCATTACTCCAGTCTTCAATGTCACATGATCCTTCAGAAATCGTTTTAATATGCTGATTTGGTGCTCAAGAACAATTTTTTTATTATCAGTGCTGAAAACAGTGCTGCTGAATATTTTTGTGGAAATGGACACTTTTTGCAGGATTCTTTGATGACATTTTCTGTAACAATATAAACTTTTCGGACTTTTCTGTCAGTTTTGATTAATGTATCTTGCTTAATATAAATATTATTTTCTTAAAAAAAAAATAAAAAAAAAACTTACTGACCCCAGACTTTTTGTTGATGTGTATAAATCAAAGCAGTGTTCATGCAGCTGCAAATGCAGTCAGATTTTCAGAATAATTTTGTTTACATATGACTTTTTTTTTTTTTAGCCCCAAGAAAAGGGGCCGTTATCTGGGGACCATACTGGGGAAAGCATACTAGGGAAAATATTTATTTTAAAGACAATAATGAATAACACTGTTTTATTAAAGGTTTAACAGCGAATGCAATGTCATCTGGATATCTGGACATCTTATCTCTTTTAATTAAATATTTTTACTGTGATTACATAATTGTGACCACGTGGCTGCTTTTAGATGTTCACAGTGTGTGACTATATTACAGCTTGCTTTCTGTTCTCTGAAACAAGGGCAAAAGTTACATTTAACAGATGGATGGCGTAACTGAGTTATGCTGCGCGCATCCACAGAAATATTGACCCTCTACTACCATCTGGTGGTCGGTCACCAGTGTACAAAAACCACATAGCACCATGGGGGAAAATAGCTGATTATGCAAATATAACTTAAGCGAACAGTTACAGTACATAAGCAAACTGTTTTGTGGAACTTTTCATTCCCGTATGAAGCAAAAAGGCGTTTATAATCGGTTTATATGAGGTCGTGGCCCGGACGTAGGCATAATGCGCCCTATAACATAGTCCCAAAATCTGTTACGGGTGAATAACTCCTAAGATGATGGATGGATGGATTTAGGGAGCAGGGCAGTGACTGTGCTCCGCTAGACCCTAGGCATTCCCAAATGGATTTAGGGGATTCCCAATTAGACTTCGCGCGGATGAGAGCATTAGATCCAATATGTTCTAGGTAACCCTATTTAAATCTGCTAACTGCAGTGTTGCAGTGCTGTGCAATTCTGAAAAGGTTACAGTGAGTATGTACAGGATGTGTGGCATGGATTTTCCCAGGGAACAAGCATCTATAAAATAAACCACTGGAGGCACGGAGACCTACTTTGGGTTAAGGGCAGGACATACTCGCCCATTTCACTAAATCTTGCCATGTGTTAATACCGTGTTTCCCACCCCTTGTCCCCCCAACATATGTTGGAAGTCTTCCTTGCCTGTTTTAAGTCATGAATTACTAACAAGTTGAATCGGGTGTGTTTAATTAAGGAGACTGTGTAGATATAGCCTACGTGTTCTAGAAAAAAAGATTGTGAACAAAGGGTTTTTAGCATCTTACTGTATGCTGAATGGGTTTAAAGACCCCAAGAAATTATATATCACTTATTTCATGTTGAAACTGCGACATCTTTATATCAGTGTTATTTTAGTATTATACGTTTATAATCTCTATTACTAATTTAATTAGCTTTTATTTTTTTATATATTTCTTTAAATATTACTATTTAGGTTTAATTTATTTTAATTTAAGTTTTTATTTATTTCCAGTTAGTAATTTTTCTAATAAGTGTTTTAACTTAAACTTATTTCAGTTCAGTGCCAGTGCAACATTTTACATTTTTGTTTAAAGTTTTTCATCTAATATTTATATTCATATTTTATTTTATTTAAGCTTTATTTCCATTAAAAGTCATTTTAGTAATTTACTTCTAACGATAAAAATTCCGTTAATGTGCTAAAGCTGAATTTTGTCAGCATTTAGGCATGCACTAATACATGACATTAATACTAACACACCAACCCGTTCTCATCAGTCTGCGTATAAATAACACGACTTATGCACGCAAAATTGGCATTTGGCGTATGCATTACACGCAATTAGAAAGTGTAAAGTCGTGTTATTTATACGCAGACTGATGAGAACGGGTTGCTTTCTGTTTCACAAAAGGTATTTTATAAAAAGGTAAGAAAGAGATGGTTCTTTAAAGAACATTTGACTGAATGGTTCTTTGTGGAACCAAAAATGGTTCTTCTATGGCATCGCTGTGAAGAACCTTTTAAGCACCTTTATTTTTAAGAGTGAACATGCGTGAAAGTAGAATAAGTGAATAGGTGCCTTTATTAATTAAACAGCAAGGAATACTGTAGTGTAGTGTACAACAGGTGGCGCAAGGTCAATTATTACAGTGTCAATGCTTTAACCAGCTCCTATGGCCTTACATGTGCCATCAGAAAATAAATGTTCAATTGGAAACTATAAATATACTCATGCATACTAGAAGTCTAATATTACAATAGGCCAACACACATTTAAAACAACAGAGCTTTAATCTCAAAAATATGCAAATATTTAAGTATAGTACTGATGATAAAAGTTTGAACATTTAAAAGTATGAATATAAAAAAAAAAAAAAATTAATGAACATTTAAAAGTATGAATATTTAAAAAAAATTATAAAAATAAATGTTATTCAGAAACATCTTCAGAAGCTTTTTGAGAAATATGAATGTAGCTTATCAGCCTTTTGATCTTTCTGTATGCTGGTTCATGAATACTTTGCAAATTGAAGATTAAAGCACTGTTGTTTTAGATGTGTGTTGGCCTGCACCTACATTTTTAAGATGTTTCATGTAGTAGTTTTTCGTTTTAAGTAGGCCTACTAACTGTAATATGCTAAAAAAAATTATAAATGCAGTAGATTATTTTCTAAATAATAATTTTTAATAAACATTTACATACTTTTTTTAACGTTACTTAACAATATAAATAATAATCATATAGCAATGATTGCTTAACAGGTCATTAATTTAGCAAACTTCCAAGAGGCCTTAAGATCACTTAAAATAATTCATATTTAATTTTTTTCAAGTGTGATTTCTAGACCCAGAAATACATCTAAAACTTTATGTAGGCTACATGGACATTTTATAATGAATTTTATAATGAATACATTTTACACCATATTTTGTTGTGTATAAATTGTGAATAAAACATTTATTTTTAAAATCCATATCCTTACTAAGGGGTCTCTGTTGTGGAGAATGGTGTCAAAATGGTTGAGAACCACTGCATTAGCTATAAAATTAGAATTGAGTTCATAGTTATAAATCCAACGAGAATGCAAGAAAATGATGTTTTAGATATCTTCTCTGTAGACCCCCAGAGTACCATCACAGGGGCCCGTGAGGCCCACAGACTCCGCGGTAAAATCATCTACGAAAATATAGGTTACTCACTCTATCTATTGGATGTATGTGGGGGAGAGACCAGTGCTCTGCACGGAACGAAACAATGTACCGACACCGTGCGCGCACGTGACCGCTCTGACAGGGAGAAGCACTGCGCACATCCTCACATTCGTATCCTTCCGCCTTTCAACGCGAATGTCGCTTAATTACCATCGCGCTTGGGAACTCGCGTCGTTTCCTTTCTACACAGCGTGTTGTAGAGGTTTAATTTTTTTCTTCGGCTGATATTTTTAAAAGCGACTGCTCGTATCGCTTATTTAAACACTAAATGGCACGCGTCCGCGCACTATTTCTGCTCGTGGTGGCAAGATATGTTTTTTTCTCTCTGGGTAAACGTGCCGGATTTACGTTCTTTTTTCCTCCGTGGGAAGCCATGATGGCAGTTTGAGAGCGGAGCTGCGGAGCGCCCTGAGGAGAGATGAGTCCCGCCGATAAACCGCACACCGTCACGCTTCTCCAAAGGCTACCGTCGCATATCTAACACAGTTCAGGTGGAGACTGTCAGTTGTCATTTTTCACGGAACCAACTTGGCCATCCAGCGACGACGATGATCATTCGTTAGGAGGGTTTTGAGGGGGGTTTAGCAGCGGTGGCTAGCGGGCGATGCTAGTCTGGAAAGGCTCGCCTGTGTGTTTTCTTCTTCGCGCGGAGATGGAGAGGATTCGCTCCTCTCTCTGGACCTGATCACGGCGCGCGTGCCGGACACACAGACTTCTGCCATACTATTGTTGTTATATCGGATGCGTTCCGGTTCGACCGGGCCGCGGGATCGGAGGACATTTTCAGCAGCTCGGAGGACTGAGCGATCGGGACCGGGAGAGTGGGGCCTGCTGCGCCGAAACGGATAGAGGCCCGTCTGCGAGAAGCTG